GGACATCTGCTTAGGAGCAGGGCCATTACACTCAGGAGACAGGGAGAGAGTAGAGCTGCCTCTTCACATGTATGTATTTTTATTGTATTTATTCATTTGAGAGAGAGTGAGGGCCTCAGTGTGTTGTCCCAGCTATTGTGCGTTCGTTGGTTGAGTCTTGTACGTGCCATGACTGGGGATCGAACCCGTAACCTTAGCAAATTGAGACAATGCTCCAACCAACTGAGCTGCCCAGCTGGCCGGGGCCTGAGCTGCCTCTTTAGGGCACTGGACACAGCTTCCCAGGGTCCCTGGGCCTGTGACACCCCACAGAAGTCAACGCGCACTTTTCTAAAGAGGGGTCCATATCCCTCCCCAAAAACAATAGAGGGGGGGAAGGTGAAGAACCATGACTTGAGAGGGAAAGGAAGGTTCTAGAATGTTCAATAAGTGGCCATCAAATGGTCCGCAAAGCCCCCCAACATAGGGACCTCTGGATGCTAACGGGGGTGAGGGGCCGGGAGGCCGAGTGGAAAGGGGGGTGTCTGAGAGATGGGCTTGATGAGAGTGTGAATTGCAGGGGACGCCTAAGGGACATGTTTGTGTGCGGCCTGGGTGTTGGTGGGGGTGTGTGTGACCGGATGAGGGCATCAAAGGCTTGAGGTGGGCTGTGTGGGATGGGGTGGGGGTGGTGGAGGCGGGGAAGCAGGGGCTCCTGTGTGTGGCACGGTGTGTGTCTGTGCGAGAGGGTGCTGCCCGCCACAGCACCCCGCCTGCCAGCCCCGCCCCCGCGGAGGAGGAAGATCTTATCGCCTTAGGTGCTTCAGGAGTTTCAGGCTTTCTCAGCAGCCAGATCTCCCCCTCCCCCCAGCCCCCAGGCCTTGCCCCTCCAGCCTCTGGCAGGAAGTGGGCTGGCCCTGGGATTTCAGTCAACTGCCCCCATCAGTGTGCTAGCTGAGTCGCCAGAGCCAGAGCCCGGCCCTGGGGAGATGGCTGTGGTCTCAGCCGCCGAGAGCAGTGGAGAGAGCTCGCCGCAGCCCCATGTCGCAGCCAGGTGAGGTGCCGCCTCGCCCTCACTCTGCTGGGGCGGTCCCCAGGTACCGGTAGCTCCCTTGGGGTCCCTGCCACTGACCGCGGGGGCTTGAAGTAAAGGTCACGGGGAAGGGGCTCTTACTGGCAAAGCCCACCCCATAGAGTCCTGCTGAGGAGGCTTGTGGGGTGATAGTCTGTGAAGTGGGGGTGCTGGGAGGTCTCGGGTTCGGGACCAGATTGGTGCCTTACTTGGCGGTGTAACCGGCAGGTTGGTGGTGTCGCCAGGCAATGCTGGGGAGATGGGGTGGCCTGGAGGGCATGCTCTCTCTCCCTTCTCCCGTGGCTGAAGCCTCCTGCCCTTAACTGTGTGTGGAGTACGGTGGGGATGGGACTGCTGGGGGACAGAGCCTTCCCTGGGGTGCCCTTCCTACCCCCACAACCAGGATCCCACGCCTACTGGGGAGATGCCCCCCAGAGGGAAACAGCAAGGTGAGCCCCGTGTGTGTGGGCGGGGGGAGAGGGGGTGGTCAGAGGGTACGAGGTCAATGGGATCCATCTCTGGCTACTGAGCTCCTGCTTCGCCCTCTCCCAGCCCCCAGAGGCCCCCACATCCCACAGTCTCTGCCCCTTGGAGCCTCTACTGCCCCCGACTGGGTTCCATCCTGGGCAAGAGGCTTCTGACTTATGCCTCCGTCTCCTCATCTGAGAAAAGGAGTCATAATAGTAGCGGCTCAGAGCGCTGCCGTGAGGGTAAATGAGGTCATATCTGCAAAGTGCTCACGGCAGTGCCGGGCACAGAGGGGCTGAGTATTAGTCACCCTCCTCATCCTCTTCCTCATCCTCCTGTCGTCATTGCCATCATTATCAGCATCCTCTGACTTGAATCAGAGGGACTGGGCGGGGGTCAGCCCCTTGGGCAGCTCTGCGTCAGCCTTGGCATCTGCCAGCAGGCGACCTGACGCCCACCTCGCAGGGTGCTGGTGGCCCATGAGTCAGTCGGCGGCCGGTGAAAGGCGCGGGCGGTTGTGTGAGAACCTGGACAGAGCGGCCCGGGGCTCGGCGTCTGCCTCGTCCTCCCTGAGGCTGGGACCTTCCTCGCTCTGTGATCTTGAGCAGGTTCTGGAGCTGAGCCTCGGTTTCCTCTTCTGCAGGAGGGTGCAGCCTCAGAGCTGGCTAGGAGCCCCCCGCACCCCCCCGCCCTGGCGCCCACGCTCTCCTGTCTGTCCTGGCTCTGGCATACCCTTTGCCCCTGGGTATGCCGCTGCACCCTCCAGCAAGGCTTGTCCTGCTGGCACCGTGGTTGGGCACTGGCTTCCTGCACTCTCGCATGCCCTTGCCCCCCTCCTCTCACCTGGGGCTTTGTGCCGGGCCCTGTCCTGGGCACGGGTTGCCTGCTGACACCCTCCAGGGGCTGAGGGCGCCTGTGCCCGGGTTGTGATCTAGGACTAAGGGGAACAGTGGGGCTTGCCAGGAGAGCCCTTTGGCTGGGCTCTGCACCCTTTGGGGTCCCAATCCTGTGCCCTGTAATACGTGGAGGCTCCAAAGAAAGAAGCAACCAACCCCACCCTGGGGAGCTCAGCCTTCAGGGGGGACGGT